TACTACTAGTAAGGCACTTGTTCCTAGTAGCTTCTTGCTACTACTAGTAAGGCACTTGTTCCTAGTAGCTTCTTGTTACTACTAGTAAGGCACTTGTTACTACTAGCGATGCACTTGTTACTAGTCTTGTCCGATCTCTTCCGTTTCCCTTTTCGGATGCGCCTGTGCCACTCCACCGCTAAGGGCGTCGTCGAAGATCCACGCAGGTCCTCCGCGCGGGGTCGCGGCGCGGGACGTGGGACGTGGGGGGCAGCCGGGCAGCCGTGGGGCTTTACGGAATCGGTTGAATTGGCTCCATCCAACCTAAGGATGGCTCTTGTCAGGGTGGCTCTTGGGGGGGTGGTTTGCTTTCTCTCCTTTGGAGCTGTTTTGGAGCTGAACATTGCTTGAGACAAAGACTGGACAGAGATGATTCGACAGCCCAACAAGCAACAATCAGGTAGTTCGAGGATGTTCGAGGTTTTGGGTGTAAAACTTCATATAACACTTCAAGATGGTGGCTCTGCTTTGGTCTCTCACCGTGCTAGGCATCCCGGCGAGCTGCTGGAGCTCTTTGGCCTAAAGCTTTGGGCGGATGGCGATCTGTTGTTCGGGACATTTCGTGGGATGACACCTAGCCTTTTTGTTTTGCTCTTATAGGTTGGAGGCCATCGCTCTTAGACCATCCCAGACCATCCCCGTCTGGGTATGAAACAGTGGTGTTTGATTTTCATCGGATTTCCGCACCAAACCATCTTCGCTCCCGCGAGAGTTTCGAGGTGAGGAGACTCCGAAGAGGGCCCCTCTGCCGGGCCCCTGGCCAGCAGCATGGAACGTACCAAGCCCTCGATGCCCAGAATCGTCATGACCTCGAGTCGAGCATGAAGGGCGAGCGAAATCGCTCGACCCGAGTCCTGAAGGAGCTCCAAGGTTGGAGCACGGAGCTCCTTTGTTGGTCTTTCTGTTGTGGTTCGTCATCGAAAGATTGAGGGAAGAACCAAAACCCCTTCCCATTGCTTCCCAAAGTAACTATCTCGTTTTTTTTTGGCTGGAAGGGGTGATATTGGATGTCTTTGTGCATTTCCAAGGCTCATTTCCCGCCAGCCGCAATGACCTGCGCGAAGTCCGTCGTTTCCATCGACCGCATGGCCGCTCGACAGAAATAGATAGCTCGACAGAACCTATCATCAAGATCCATGAAGAAGCTATACCCTACCATTCCAAAGACCCAGTAAAACCTGGTCTTTTACCTCGTTAAGTATTGGTTTTGTATGACCATCCCCAGTAAAATGAGGTCTTTGACTTGTAGCAATAGGTTCAGATGATACTTCTATTGTATAGCTTCAGAAGTATCTGCCCATCAGAGCTTCATCTGGTCAGCTTTCACGCTTACGACACTCAACGGCCCAACGGGCGTTCGCCTCAGCATTGGCCACCTTGTGATGGTCTTGGCTGTAGCCAATGCAGCTTCATCGTCCAGATTCGCCTCCCCAAGGGCCACCGGCTCTTATAGAAGTCGTTTGCTCTCAAGGCCACACAGGAATCCAACACCGACAGATATCCGAAAGATTCCGAAATTCAACACCTCGATCCCTTGCGTTCTTTTCAAACAAAAAGGTGTTCACCGTTGGTCATGGGACCATTGGTCGTCGTGGGTCCGCTAACCGCGCAAAACCGGCCTCTGCCGCATCGAAGACCTTCAATGCCGGGCTAATTCCTGTGGTGATGCAACGATAGCGGCAAACCGCACATGGCAACGAAGATGAGCAGAACATGCCCAACATTGCCCAGCGATTCCCTTTAACATGTTTGTATTTTCTTCGGTGTTGCAGCAGATTAGCAGAAGCAAACGCTAAGCGTGAATGAACATTGACATGACTTGTGTATTCGTTTCCAATGCTCTCTGCACATGTGGTGCTCCTTCCAAGAGGGAAACGAAGCCCTTGCCCAGCGGATTCTTGGGGAGGCTGAGTTCCTTGGGGTGCGTGGAGCAATGTGGAGTAACCGGTTCTTACTCGGCAAAACATAAGTACCAGGGCTATCTGGGTGCAATGGGAGACCATCGCTAGCAGGTTGGAGGCCATTACTAGAAGCTACTTGGCTGGAGGCCATCGCTATAGGTTGGAGGCCATCCCTAGTAGGTTGGAGGCACAAATCGATTCTCCTGTGTCATCCACTGGCCTCAAGCGAGTCAGACGATCTCTTCGTACCGATCCTATCCGCTCTGTACCGCTCTGCTTCGTCCGCATGCGGAAAGGATCAAGGTCCACCGAGGACATCTAGCTTTTTCCCAAGAATGTTCGCGCAACAATTCCATTTAGAACATGGGTTGTTTGTTGAGAATGGGTGATTAGCTATAGACTCTAGACCCATCTAGACTTTCCTTTTAACAGCACCCACAAGGCACTCACATATCTAGACTCTAGACCTTTCTTTCTCAGCACCAACAAACAATTTCGGAGGACTTTCACCTCAGAAATCCTCATTCTCGCTGGAAACTTCGATCGACTTTCGATCAACTCTGAGGATCTTTGAGAAATGGCACGGCCTTCAGCCCAGCACCCAACGCTTTGGCACCTGGCGTTCGGAACGGTCAACCCGTGTGGGCGCTTTATGTCACAGTCGTTCTCAGAATCTTCGGCACCAACACTTCTGGTTAGCAAAACGAAGCTACTAGTAGCAAAGGGCATCCCTGCAAGTAACAACGGGCATTACTAATAGTAGCTAGGTTGGAAGCCATCGCTATTGGGGTGGAGGCCATTAGTATACCTGGACCTTCCACGGGTGTGTTTTTTCAGCCGTTTGGCGAAACAGCACAAACTTCATTCGTTTGCCGTCAAAAACGCCGTTTCATTTCAAAAGTGCCGTTTCGATGTTTTTACAAAGGTTACCAAACTAGCAGTTGGCAAAAGTCGCCGTTTGGTCGGGGGAAGTCGCCGTTTGGTCGGGAAAAGTCGCCGTTTCAAAACCTTGACATACCATCGAAAACATGGCAATGCAAAAAGTGCTTCAGTACAAAATAGATCAAAATAGTTGGCGTTTGCTTGAAAAAGCAGTTTTGATTGAAAAGGCGGAAACAAAGCATACTTATGAAGACCCAGGTATAGAAGCTAAATTAGTAACAAGGGGTGCTCGTCGCACTGTGTCGCTCGCCCGGACCGGTTGTCCTCGTCGTGTTCTTCCTCGCCTGCAGCGCCAATGTCGTTCTCGTCCAGGATGATGGTCTGCAACTTCTCTCCGCAGCCCAGGGCAAAAGCATTGGCCAGAGCCACTGCGCCACCATTCCCTTAAATGGCAGATGTGGATTCAGGCCATCTGTGCAAAACAGGGGGGTTGGCCGCATTTTCAGCGTTTTCACCATGGTGAGGTTCTTTCCGTCGCCTGTGGGCGCAAAAAAAAGGTGTTGATGTCATGAACCTTCTCAACATCTCGACCTATCTCATGGCTGTTCACTGACTTCCCAAACGGTTGAAGCACGTGGATATCTCTTGCAAATCGGCATTTGGGGCTCTCCCTCTTTCTGCGGCCAACGTGTCCAATTGCACAGCCCCAAATGCTGAGCTCCTGCCAGGCGGTCATTCAAACCATGGACGAAGCGTTTCCAACTGAATAGGAAGTGCTCTTCGGTTGGAGGCCATCGCTCTTAGGTTGGAGGCCATTGCTGTACTGGCTGGTGGTTGAGACAGGCGTCCGTTTCGTTCAGCCACGGCTCACCTTCGCTTGCCAAGCCATGGGACCAGGGACATCACACACTCGTCTCGGCGGTCTCGGTGTCTGGCTTTCTCCTCCAAGTGCGAGGGATCTTTCCGCGCGTGGTCGGCATTGTACGCCATCTCGAGGCCCTCACACATGGCCCGAGCATTCGCCTCGCGGCATCCGCAGGATTGTGGAAACAAAACTCATGGTGTTTCCATGCCTTTGGGCCTTTGGCCACGCTGTACAGCTGTAGCAGCGCTGTAGCGTCAACCATAAGCCATAAGCTTCCCCCCCAAAAAGAACCCGTAACCTGAAGGCTTCTCAACTCAACCACGTCTCCGGAAAATGGCGTCTCATCATCGCCGCGCCTCACCGATCTGATGAAAGGCATATTGCATGCTCTTTGGTCTGGACCTCGGATTTCATACTTCAGGACACTTGGGAAAAGGAACAAGAGTTGAAGCTGGACACATACACCAACTTTATGATCTATAATTACATGTGCTGAAGGAGTTTTGAGATCTTCAAAAGATTTCGACACCAGAGTTTGACTCATGGATGCCCTTGAAAAGCACAGCCATCCGTGGCACTGGAAGAGGGCTGCTTTGGAACATTTTGGAA